AAAAGTATTTTTCTTTAATACTGTCATTTAGTTTCACTATTTCGATGATTTGGGCTATTTCACTGTGTTCCAAGTTTACAAATTTGACAGTGAAACAAATAGGTCTATTGTTATTTTACATGTTTACATGGATTTATTTCAAATTAGCAAATTTTACATCTCGACAAAAATAAAGAAATTAAAAACCTGTGAATGTAGTATCGTAATACAGTCTACCATTACAGTGACTTTATTCTAATAATCTTAAATGTGTTCAAACATTTATATCATTAACCTTAAATTTTGATATGTAATTAGCACATTATGAACAAGATTTAAATTAGAAAAAAATGCCATATTTTTGACACTAATAAAAAATAAAAACATGCTAGGGATGGCAAACAAATGTGCAATACAACATTAAATGTTTTTTTAAATTGGCAATAGCTCTGAAGATGACCAAATCTTACCGAAATACTGTTTTAAACACACTTGCATGAGAAAAATGATTCCACGCTAGGCTAATGTCACATGAAATGTGAAAACTGAAGGTTGAGTGGTTGCCATTTTTGGTCATGTGATGGGAATCTTAGAAATTTATTTAACACACACTATTATGGCAATTGGAACATGAAATCAAAAGTAGGTCTTTCAAGCAGATGACTTTTTTGACCAAAATCCTCGATAAGTTGTAATTCTGCCCCGTAATTCCTTAGTTCCATAATTTTGTGGTATTTTACGGGATATTTTCATCCTACCATATAAGGAAATACGAATTCTAAATATGGAATGATTACGCGCGTAAGCGTCCTCTAATAATAAAAACAAACATGGCTGCCATCAGGGTTTGACCGGACTCTACATAAAGAAGTTCGCTTATTCTGTTCTAAACGTTTTGAATTTCGGCATTCTCATGATGTATCATTGGAAGGAAAAGATGTATAATAATAAGGTATACAAGTATACCTCATAGTATGCACTTGTATTATCTTCTATTATATACATGTGGTTTTGATTTTAAACCTGTGTTTTTGTGAGAAATTCACCTAAACGCTAACATTGTCATCCATGGAGTTCTAATTTATAGTGGTACAATGTATGAGCCCAAATACACACTGTATATAAATTGTTCAAAATAGCCCAAAAATATCTTGGTTTATCTAAGTGTAGAATTGATGATTTGAAATTATCTTTGTAATCTGTTCCATAGTTAGTTACACTTGTTTATGTTCTGTGCATGTGCACAGTGACTAGTTGGCAAAAACCAATCATTCACACTGGAAGACAAAATAATTTAATAAATAAATAAAGTTATTCACTGCTGTTGTTATTAAATATACATGTATGTGTTTCCTGCTAATATAATGTATAGGAAATGTTATCGCAGCAGATTGCGATTCTGTTTTGATCAGCGAGTGAAGTTTGTTGTCACACTTTTGCATGTTGTTTGGCAAAAATGTACATATGACGTCACAGTGCAATGGCCTATTGGTTGGTTGCAAATCAAATCACTGGATCACAGGATTCTCAGGAATTTAAATTTAAGAACCCAGAAGTTATCATTTTACAATATTTTTTTTTCCGGGACAATATAAAGATATTGACTTCAAAGAAGTTGTGCGCTACAGGCCTGTTTCTAGAGTAAATGATGGTGGTAATTTTATTGAATGACGGCTATTTTGAAAAAAATGATATATAGTGTAAATAGTTAGTTTGTTTTTCAAAGGTGATAAAAAAAATTTCTCAACATTGTATTCTGTGAAATTGTTCTAAAAATATTGATTTTTGGGAAAATATTAGGCCAATTTTCTACAAATATGGTTCTGTAATATGCAAAAAAAATTTTACCGGTATTTCAAGTTACCATGGAACCATTGCTTCATGGTTGTACATAATAATTTAATGAATATTGTGATGATTTATGACCATCTTTCTCAAAAATTATGAGTAGACTTCTTCGCAGAAGACAAGCAAAGCTTTTGCTGTAGGTGATTGCCTGTTGTCATCTCACGTTTTGTGTCATATGTTCCTTGGGTGCCCTTCTATGAGATTTGATCATTTTCGATTTCAACTTCTCCTCGAAGATTATACTCCAATTGATTTGATTCTTGGTATACCTGGTACTTATAGCGTAGGTGAATCTATATTAGATTTGAATATTTTCTGATCATAATTTTATTTATAGCAAAAATTGTTTTTCATTTTTGTCTTCTTGATGACTGCTAGTTTGATTGAATAGATCAAACATGAAAAAGGATGTCTTATTATCGGTAGGTAATTTTCTTGAGACTAGAAAATATAATGTAACAAATTTATGTTACAGATTACATACAAGTCACTTCACTCTGTGTATTCCTCGACTGCACCTGTATCAAAAGATCTCCTGGTAACAGAACCTCCTCCTTACACCTTGAAAGGGCTACCAGCAGGAACACAGTTTGAAATATCAGTGAATGCAAGTACATCAAAGGGATTTGGTGAACATAAAACTATTATCAGTGGAACTAAAATTGTAATTGGTAAGCCAACTTTCTTTCAAGAGTTGTTTTCAACAAAGTATAATGTGTAAATTATGATTGGCATCTGTATGAAAATTAGCTCACTAAAGATTTCTCCAGATACTATGTGTTTCATATGTTTATCAGTTTCACTCATGAACATAAGGCACACTTACATGGCATCATCATTATGTGATGTAGCTTGGGGCACATTTTTATGCTGCTGAAGGTAACTTAATTTATAAAAAAAATTATATAATAACATATGAGGTTATGAGAATACCAGAAATAATGCACGCAGGTGATATAGGATCACATTGGCCAACATTACACAACATCACTTGATACATGCTTTACAGTATTTCTCATGATAAGCACATTCAGTTTGAATCTAGTTTAATGGCACAGATGCATGCTGATAATCAAGTTATATTTTAAAATGTGATGATCATAACACCACGCATGTGCAAGATTTGTTGACTCATTTAATCAAAGATGACGACTTTGCCTGTTGCGCAGATCAACAAGTGCAAACTGAGAGGCTACCAAACTTTGATCTGATTGAAAGGTATCGAATGAGTCAGCAGCAGTAATTAGTGCAAGTTGCGCCTAGGTTAAAACTGAGTACTTGTGTTTTCCTTCAGAAGGGCACATTGGATTATGGGAAAATCAATGTTTATCAACATAAATGTCACACATGTGTGACACAACGTCTCCTTTTATACAAAGCTGCATCTGTCTTTTCATATAATATAACAAGTATATCAAGTTTGCTTAGTCAGTATTTATTTGAACACTAATTCTAGTATTGTCTCCCTAGATGATATTTCTGATATTTTGGTGCCTGTCGTGGTGACTGCTCCAGTATTGACGGAAACTACTGCAACAATTAATTTACGGAAGTTTGATGATAATGTAGACATTAATAAAGATACAGAACAAATGTAAGTTCCATCTAATGTGAAATCATTTTATTTTCATCGACATTTAATTTCACTATTTTGATGTATTGATCATATTCACTGTGTTTTAATTTAGTAGATTTTACTTAACAGCAAAAATAGCAAAATTAAAACCCAGTGAATAGTGAATGCATCGTGAAATCTGAATATGGCGACATAAAATACATGTATTTTCCCATTGTTTCAAGATGTCCAAATGGTGACCATTATAATAATTAATACATTCAACGCAAGTAATTCTACCATTCAGAAAAGTAATCTCAGTCATATATGGACAGTTCACACTCAAAAATTTAACAGCATGGGCCCTTGATGCAATGACATTTTGTTTTAACAGATTAGATTCTAAGGACTTTTGTTGTGGAGATATATTTCTGACAAACCGGTACCTGGACCAATAACATTAAAACATAATACATTTTAGAGTAGGATCTCGGGTCACATTGATGGATTTTATTGGTACCGGTACATACATTTCACATCATGGTACCTTGATCTTTTTGTTTGACGCATCTAGTTCAAAATGGCCTACTTGTGGCAATTTTGATTTTGAAAATGCTTATCTGGTGCCAGGTCAAATTCATTCGAAGTTTACTCATGCAAACTACATTTTTATTTCATTCTTTTTTTTTTTTTCTTCCTATTTCATGACGGGGACTGTTTCATGTTTGACTTATTATTTAAAATGCAATACATATTAATATAGCCTACTGATGGCCATATTAGTTCCCTGTCTTATTGAAGATGTTCATTACCAGATTTAAGTGGTGAAAATATGTGCAAGACATGCTTTATATGTTTTGTTACAAGGACTTTTACAATAGGAAGAATATTATATTAATGTCATGTACACTATTTATAATGTTGAACAATTTTCGTCTGTGGCAGACTAATACAAATTTGAATTTATAGTATGATGTTTTTTTCTGCATATCTTTCTGAAACTCCAAAAATGTAATCTTCTTGCAGGAAGTATGTTGTAGTTGTTGAAGAGGAGCAACAGCAGCAAAAGCGTGATTTAGAAGAAAATCAGTATATCATAGCATTGTTTCCACTGAATGAAATCCCTGATCAACTTATAGTGGGTGATGGTATGGAATACAATGGTTATGACAATAAACCATTAACATCTGGACAACAATATG